AAATTTTTGTTGAGATGAATGGCAAATAACAATTTCTTTCAAGTCAAAGAATAACTAGGCAAATTGTCAACTCATTTTAGGGAGAAAAATCTGATAATTAACTTTGTCCATTCATACCAGTATAATCTACAACAATGGCAAATGAAATAACGAGACATTTCCTGACCTTTTATTACACCCTACATGTCCGGGATGGGATTGTCTAATGGCCCTGCTAAACTATATATTTCATTATAAATTATTATATTCATATTGCTTTTCACTGAGGAAGAAATGGATTCTCAATATTTATTGATCTCTACAAGAAATATCCTCAGGTGACATTACTGATTTTCATATACTGTATCATATTAAGATGTGGTATATACTATTAAAATTTTTGACACCTCAAGTATATAATAATAATATATATTATCAGTGATTGGACTTCCAAAAAAGTATCAAATTTCTTTATGAATTGCTGGAAGGTGAAGGAAATTAATAAAGAGTAGAGAAAGAAATAACATTATCAGGTAGGTGATCAAGTCTTATACTCTAGTTTCTTTTTTAAAATAAGGATAAGACCATTAATATTGCATTCAGCTCTATAGAATTTGTGCTAGGTATGACATGTTCCCATTAAAATAAGCCTATGAAAAAGCCTATAAAAGGGCAATCATTTTATCATGTACAGTATAATTACATATGCACTAAATGTGTTTTAATTCATAATTCCGGTGCTGTATTCTCAGAAAAATCTTTTTTTAAAAAAAAGTATCACTAGCAGCAAACAGAAAAGGAATAGAAATTGCATCATAAATGTGCAATAATTTTCTCTAACGCCTATGATCATTTTAAAATGTAAATCCAAGAATGATTCTTAAAGAAACTTTCTAAAATATAAGCTTTCTTGGACTGATACATACTGCTGATAGTGTGGTGAAAATTTTGTTGAACCTTAGTTTATAAAAGTATTCAAGTATATTCACTGATTAACTGGATACACATTGCTCTGGCGCAGCTCAGGTTTGCTTTTGCATTATATTTTTCTGCTTTTAAATCATTTATCTCTGTGAGAGTCTTGTGGGGGGGAGGTGGGACAGCTTTAAGAGAATAATTAATGGAAAGTAAGTGATTAATGGAAAAGAAGTGGATAGTTAAATATTTAGCTTCCAGGTCACTAAAAACATGTAAAAAGAACTCCACAGATTATAAAAGCTTTTGAAATGGTGCCTTTATACAACATATTTTCTAATGTGTCTGCTACAGTAGTTATGTGAGCAGTAACTAGGTTTCATAATTGTCAAAGAATCTCCAAGGATTAGGAAAAAAATGTTTTTATCATGTACCATATAAACCCCATTATTTATTTAGTCAGATAAAGCAGAAACAATGCACTCAGAAGAAGTCATGTAATATAGGGGTTAAAGTGTGGCCAGGACAAAAAACAGCTCCTGCAGAAAGGCCACATATACAGTAAATCTATAAAAAATATACATGCGAGACAAATGTTATTTCCCATGTTCATATATAATATGGTTGCTAAGCTTTCTAATGTAAATATGAGCAATGAATGCAGAGGGTTGTTTTTTTTTAATTTATTGGGAGATTTTGTAACTGAACAGACTATATGAGTCATGGCCATACAGGATTGCAATCACATCTTTTAGCCAAAGGCTTCATATGGCATTAACTGTCTTATCCATCTCTCATCTTCTCAATCAACCTACTAATAAAAAATACCCAGATAAGACATGGCATTATGCTAACATGGCTGAACTGAAGTGTGATTAGTTAGGACTTAATTTTATCATCTAAAAATATTTCTAGAAAGGAAAAAAAATAATATCAGGTGAGAAAAATGATCATGCATTCCAAATTAATTTAAAAGTACCTTTATTCATTAAATAAAATCTTGATATAAAAAGGTCTAATAGCCCTCTGACAAATATGTGTCTCAGGAAAAGTCATTTAAAATTGTATTATTTGAATGATATTTCACTTTATGCAGCCTCAGAAGTCAGTTTTGTCATATATAGATTTTAACTATATTTTAATTAACATAAAAATCATTTTAGGCCAGAAAATAAAAACATGTTTGATTTGAAGTTCAGTTTAAGTGGCTGTACTCATTTTTTTTGAAGAGAAAAAGTTTGAAAGATGTTTGGGCTATAAAATAGGAGATCTTCTTTCTGATCTTCTTTCAAAGCATTGGGACAGTTGGTATCAGCCCCATTAGACATGGCACACACAAATCAATTCCACTGGAAGACTAGAACTATAGTTAATTGAGATTGGTTATAAAAACAGAATCTTGCAATCTTATGCTTTACTTGTCCTCCTCCTTATACCCCCAATGAATCAGGGGAACAGCTACCTGAGTCACTTCCAAATACCTTGCTTTTCAGGTTTTAAATAATGTTTAGCTCTCTTCTATTATGTAAGAGTTCTTGAAGAGTACTGTCAGAGCCATTTCCCATCCTCTGTACATCTGCTTGGGAATGAAACTCAGAACTATATGGATAGCTGGATGAATTCTCCAGAATTCCAGGGAACTTGCAAAACTTGAACAATCTTACTTGTGCAAATAGCCCCTATACAAATTATCCTGAGAGGTAGCTGATTAATAAAGTGAGGAATAGTTTATTTATAGCTTCCAATGTATGAGTTCAAATTATGAAATAACCACTTCAACCACTTCAGTTTGAAAATACTATAACTGCCTGTTTAACGTTTGACTAATTTTCTCTATTATGTAATAATTTTATTTCTTACTCAGTAAGTATATTTGCAGGTTACTCAAACATGGAATCTGGTTACGCTGCTCTTTGAAGAATAAATTACCTGTCCATAAATTTTACCTGTCCATAAATTTTAATAGGAGAGAATTTCAAAATAAGAGCTGGTTGAAATGATGAATTTCTGCACATTCAATTTAAGGCTTGTTCTCTTGAAGACGTTATTGAACCACCATAAATGCAATTGAGCTGGCCAAAGGCTGATATACCTCTAAGGCTTAATTTAAAAATGCTAGCCAGTGTTTTTTTCTGGATAATACAAATTTTGGCAGTCCAGAAATTATCTACAATAGATTACTTAATAATTTTTGGAGATCTGGCTCTGGGACTTTGGCATAGTCTCCAGGTCCAAACTATTAATTGTCCTTTAACTCATCTTCACCCAAATGCTCTCAAACAACCCTTCTGCAAACAGAGCCAAAATTCTGTGGGTAGAAAATCTCATATAATTAAAATAATAAAATAATGTCACTATTTTGTTTTCTATTTTGTTAAAATTGCAAATCTTAAAAATGAATATAGGATAGTAGGACTGAATGGGCAACTACAGATGAAGCACATCAGTGAAAAGCAGCTGCATAAAATGAAATTCTAGGTTTCATAATACAATGTCAAGATGAAGAAAAAGTTACTCATCCTCTTTCTGCTGCTTTGATCAGACCGCTCTTATAAATACAGTGTTCAGTTTTTCAAGAAATGTAGGCAATGATGGGGACATGTGTTGTGCACATGTGACCTTGCTGGTTCACAAACTGCACATGGATTCTGGATGGAATTCAAGGTGCTGGTTCCTATCATTAAAGTGGTTCATGGCATAGGGCATGAATGTCTGAGCATCACTTTTGACCAATTGTCTCTGCTTGTCTAGTTTGGTTGATGCGATCCAGGTCCCATCTATTAAAGAATATTTCCTTGTTGAGCCCAGGAAGCACAGCTCCTCTGCTGCAATTCCTGTCCTTTGTAATGGTTTTCTCTTAAGATTTGTATAGCTTCCTCTTTATGCCATTTGGGAAATTATTAAAGATATGATTATTCTCCTAGGCCTCGAGATAGGATGATGGTGACTGTTAGTCATTACAGTTGTTTAGATTGGCAGTTCTTCTAATCAAATCAAAATTATGAGGAGACAAATCCACACAACATTCTGCTATGATTTTAGAGTGATTCAGAGGAGATAACAGTATCATAATTAAATATGACACATGTAATAAGTGTATAGTAGATATAGTAAGTATTGGAAAGCAATACAAAAGAATACAACAATAATGCAATAATGATCACGGGATAAACTTACATTCTACAAATTAAAATGGTTTTCATAATATTAAATCCATATGACTCAATGTACAGTTATTATTTCAATATATAATATTTAGATTCAAATCAAAACATGTTCAGCAAAATTACTGGCTTTACATAGAGGTAACTGAAAATATCTCTTTTAGAATATCTAATGTAAAATACTGGCTGGATGTTGTAATATTAATATAATATTGCCTTTGAATTAATATATTTTAGCTTTTAGGTAATTGGGGAAAGGATGATTTTCATATATGACTCTATATGTAAAAATAGATGCTTTCATGAAGTGGTAAATTTTATCAACTAAGGACTTTACTATGGGAAAAATAGAAACATGAGACTGAACCTTAAAATAAGCAGTAACTTGTAATTTCCGCAGGAACAGAGGAAAGCTAAACAACTCCCTTCATTCAGTACCATTAGCTTAGCCTGACTCTGTCATCATGGAAGAATAAGGATGCAAGCAATAACAGCCTTCTATTTGTCAAGAACCAAAAAGTCAAGTCTTACAATGACAGACCACTGATTTCTGGAGTAATCTGTCTATAGGACAACAAATCTGTTTTGACAGTGTGAAAATATATCTTACCAGATTGCAAAACATTATTTTTGACAGAGTGCTTTAAAGAAAACTTAAATTTTGCAGTCGAGTATAGTCAAATTAAATCCATTTTCTGGTTTATCCAACAGTTTTCTTAGTGAACAACACAATTCATCAGCTGGAACACTTATTTTATATAGCTTATCAATCACAGATACTTCTTTATTTAGTTCTAGATAACTAAAGGAATAGGACACAGCAAGTATTGTATAGTTAAGGTAAATAAAATATTATTATAATAATCTGCATAGAAACAAGTATAAGGACCCTTTCTCAATTTTAAGATCAGACAATATTGTCACTTCTAGAATGTCACTTACCCAGCTGTGTCTCTTGAATTGTCAGTTTACTCTCCAAAGGATACAAAAGCTTTGGTGGTTTTTCTGTAAGTGGAGCTAGAAAAAAAACACAGACACATATTTATTCTTTTAGAACATTCTTAAACAATGTTAAAATGTTAAATGTTAAAATACTTTCAATAATCCAGGATCACATAATTATCCAAATAGTTAGAAGTTGTAATAGACTTTATTGTAAGAAAAGCAGGGCAATAGACTTCTACATAGCAGATTTAATAAGAAGAGATCAAGAAAAATAAACAATGATATAAAAAATGTGGGAAAAGGCATGAGAAAGAGAAAAAATGTCAAGCAGACAGAGACAGTGTTTGCAAAGCTATTCCAAACTATTGAAATCTCGGTGGCAGCACAAAGAAGATTTAAGGCAGATAAGGAGACTTAGATGTTTGCATAAATACATAAGCACATGATCAATGCATATAAGAATCAGCACCACCCTACATCATTGCTTGGTTGGATTACTGTGATGTGTTCTACATGGGATTGCCCTTGAAGGCCATCTGGAAACTGACCAGTCCAGAATATGATGGCACAAGCAGTTCTGGACACTCTATGATGTGCTCATATTACATCACTGCTGCATGACCTGTCCTGGCTTTTAGTTTCTTTCTGGGTGCAATTCAAAGTATATCACCTTTAAAATCCTAAATGATATGGGACTAGGCCAGAGGTCACCAATGTATTGGGCACCAGGGCCTGGTTACGTGGAGAGAGGTTTTTCCGCGGACCTCAGGGTGCGTGGTTTTGTGTACTGCCTGCATCTTGCAGATGGGGTTTTGCTTATTTGTGCAGCCTGGTTGTTGGCATGCCATGGCCCAGTACTGCTCCATGTATCGGGGCATGGGGACCCATGGATTAGGCCAGGGGCCGGCAACCATAAACACTCAAAGAGACACTTGGACCCATTTCCCACAGAAAAGAAAACACTGGGGGCTGCAAAACTTGTGCGCGTGTGCACCAGAGGGAGGGGCTTGTTTGAAGAGTTTAATTAAAAAGAAATAGAGGGTGCTCTGCATGAGTTCTCTCTCTCTCTCTCTTTCTCTCCCTCCCCCCTCTCTCCTCTCCCTCTCCCTCTCTCTTTTTCTCTCCCTCCCTCCCTTTTTCTCTCTCCCTCCCTCCCTCTCTTTTTCTTTGTCTCCCTCTTCTCTCCCTCTCTCTCCCTCTCTCTTTCTCTCCCTCTCTCTCTCTCTTTCCTCTCCCCTCTCTCCCCCCTCTTTCTCTCTCTCTTTCCTCTCTCTCCCTCTCTCTTTCTCTCTCTCTCCCTCTTTCTCCCTCTCCCTCTCTCCTCTCCCTCTCTCTCCCCCCTCTCTCTGTCTCTCTCTCTTTCCTCTTCCTCTCTCTCTCTCTTTTTCTCTTTCTCCCTCTCTCCCTCTCCCTCTCCCTTTCTATCTTTCTTTCCTCTCTCTCTCTCTCTCTCTCTGCTCACCTGGCAAGCTGACACACATTCTTATTGGGCTGGCTCTCTTCTGCCCTTCCTGCTTCCTGCAGAGACACAGCCAAGGCAGGAGCCCCACCATCGTAGAACACTGTGAGGCCACTCTTTTCACACACACACACACACACACACACACAAAAACACACACACACACAGAGAGAGAGAGGGAGGGAGGGAGGGAGAGAGAGAGAATGGAAGCGCAAGTGCCTCTCTCTGTCTCTGTCTCTCTCTCTGCAAATGGCGGAAGAGGCTGGGAGCAAGAGAAGGCTCAAAGAGCCACATGCGGCTCTGGAGCCATGGATTGCTGACCCATGGACTAGGCCACAGGTCAGCAACCTGCAGCTCCGGAGCCGCATGCGGCTCTTTGAACCTTCCCCTGTGGCTCCCAGCCTCCTCTGCCTTTGCAGAGAGAGACAGAGACAGAGAGAGGCAATTGCGCTTCCCTGCTTCCCTGCTTTTCTCTCTCTCTCTCTCTCTCTGCTCACCTGGCAAGCTGACACACATTCTTATTGGGCTGGCTCTCTTCTACCCTTCCTGCTTCCTGCAGAGACACAGCCAAGGCAGGAGCCCCACCTAATAAGCTTGTCAGCTCATCGTAGAACACTGTGAGGCCACTCTTTTCACACACACACACACACACACACACATACAAACACACATACACACACAGAGAGAGAGAGAGGGGGGGGGAGGGAGGGAGGGAGAGAGAGATGGAAGCACACAGTGCCTCTCTCTGTCTCTGTCTCTCTCTCTGCAAATGGCGGAGGAGGCTGGGAGCAAGAGAAGGCTCAAAGAGCCACATGCGGCTCCGGAGCCATGGGTTGCTGACCCATGGACTAGGCCACAGGTCAGCAACCTGTGGCTCCGGAGCCGCATGCGGCTCTTTGAGCCTTCCCCGGTGGCTCCCAGCCTCCTCTGCCTTTGCAGAGAGAGACAGAGACAGAGAGAGGCAATTGTGCTTCCCTGCTTCCCTGCTTCTCTCTCTCTCTCTCTCTCTTTGTGTGTGTGTGTATGTGTGTGTAAAAGAGAGTGCACTCACAGTGTTCTCGGAAGAGCTGAAAAGCTTGCTGGGCGGAGCTCCTCCCTTTGCTGCGTTTCTGTAGGAAGCAGGAAGCAGGAAGGGCAGGAGAGAGCTAGCTAGCCCAGCTAGGCTGACTCAGGAATTCTGGGAGTTGAAGTCCATGAGTCATAAAAGAGACGAGGTTGCTTACCCCTGAGCTTGTTGGACAACAGTTTGAAGCTTGCCAGGTGAGCAGCAGATAGGAGGGGGGAAGAAAGAGAGAGAGAGAAAGAGAGAGAGAGAGGGAGAGAGAGAGAGAGAGAGAGAGAGAGAGAGAGAGAGAGAGAGAATGGGGGAAGAGGAGTGGCAGACCAAGGGCAGATAGAGAGGGAGGGAGGGAGAGAGACACAGAGAGAGAGACCCTTTTGACATCTAAAAATTAAGATAACACTGCATATATCCTTTTTTTACCTGTGTGTGTATGTAATTTTATTCTCTTAAAGCATTCTCTTGGTGATCATTGTTTTCATAGTGTGGATATTCCCAAGAGTCATATTTTTACTTTTATTTTTAATGTGTGTGTGTGTGTATATATACACACATACGCACACACACACACACACACAAACACACACACACACACACACACACACACACACCTATAATAAAGGTAAAAAAGGATATATGCAGTGTTATCTTCATTTTAGATATCAAAAGGGTTTTGCGGCTCCCGATGTTTTGTTTTTGGTGGGAAACGGGTCCAAGTGGCTCTTTGAGTGTTTTGGGTTGCCTACCCCTGGACTAGGCTATGTACAGGATCATCTTTCTCTGAGGGTAAGTTATGTTGGGGAGCTCTAGGTCAGAGGTCCCAACCTCTTGGGCACCAGGGACCGGTTCCATGGAGAGAGGTTTTTCTGTGGACTGGAGGGGGTGTGGTTTTATATGCTGCCTTGCGGATGGGGCTTTGCTTGTTTGTGCGGTTGCTTGCACGCCGTGGCCTGGTACCAGTCCATGGACCAATGATTGGGGACCTCTGCTCTAGGTCTCTTCCCTTAAATGTTGTCATCTAGCAGGGCCTAAATGAAAACATTTTCTTTTCCATAAAAGTTTTATAGACTTTTTATTAAATTTTACTTTATGATTGGGAGGGTTTTTTATTTTTAATTGTTTTGTGAACTATTAAATATTGTTATTACAATGTGTGTATATATATTGCACATACACATATATTAGAATATATATATATATCCAAGTAATCCTTGAGTTACAATAACTTTATTAATTTTTTAAACAAGAAAGATAACAGAAATGAATAATTAAAATAAGAAAAAGAGAAAAAATAAAGCAAGAAACAGAGAACAAAGCCAAAAGTGCAGAAAAAAATACAGAAAACAAATATAAAGAAAACTTTCTTTCAGAGCAGATATAAGTATATATTTACATTAAATTCTTACAGTAAGTTTATAATATATTTTTCATTTTTATTATATACCACTTCTTCTAATCATCAAATCCATATGTCATATATAATTTCATTTTTTATGTTTCATGCACAAAGTTCAAAAGGGGTTTCCAATCATCATTAAAATGAATCAATATCTTTTCTCTAATCAAAGCTGTCAATTTTGTCATTTCAGCCAACTTCACCACCCATTTTTCCATTCTAGGTAATGTCAAATCCTTCCATGTGCATATAAAATATAGTCCTCAACTTCAGTGGCAGCTGGGACTGAAATTTCTATTACTAAGCAATGTCATAAAGTTCACATGATTGCACCATTTCACAACAGCAGTCCCAGCATTCCATATTGTCTTTGATAACTGAATTCCACTGGTCATTAGCCAAGGACCTATCTCAATCCAAGTTTGGATCAAGGTTGACTCAGCCTTCCATCCTTCCGAGGTAGGTAAAATGAGGACCCAGATTGTTGGGGGCAATGTAAATATATATATATACATTGCTTACTGGTGTACACCACTTAGAGAGTGCTCGCACTTAAAGCGGTATATAAGTCTCATAAACAAATAAATAAATAAATAAAGTCAGTCTCAGCTTGATCCCTCCCAGCCTGGAGCCTTGGTTTCCAAAGTAAGTCTTTCAAGATAAAGGTCTGCCTCCCCTTCAACTCCTCCAATCTGCCTATTCTACCCCATATCTGTCCTTTTGGCTGCCCTGCAGCCTGTCTTGTGGTATGCCAAGTTATCCCAGGAACATGTGGCTCTGGACCCACTTGCCTTGCTTTGTCTCAAGGGCTGCAAGAAGGAAACCACTGTATTCAACCTTGGGAAGAAAGCCTAATGTGCCCAGTGACAGCTGCCTTGAAAGTGCCAGCTGCCCCAGTATGATCCAGCATGGCAGTGCAAGTGGCACAAGCTACAGCTGCCCCAGGAAAGCCTAGCCCAGGCGAGGCCAGACCCAATCACAGCTGATTCTCTAATGTGATGGGAAAAAGGAGATGCTATGAAGCTTCAGTGAGAAAGAATAGGCAAAAAATGGCAAAAGGGCTTATAAGAATCAAGAAGGGTATTGGAAGGAAAAGGAAAGATATGCTAAAATGTTATTTCAGTGTGGGTGTCCTGATAGAAAGTGCCACAAGCAAT